CCGATCTTTGAAGTCAACTATAACACATAGTACTTAGTTTTCTTTTATGAGTTAAAACTTAGCAAGGGAAATGGCTAAGGACTGCTATTGCTGGTGAGTAGGATCTCTCAAGATCCAACAGTGTAATGCTCCATTGTTTCTGTTACTGTAGTAGCCTCTAGTTAGAATACAAAATACACCTGAGACTGTAATGTTTCATTTGGACATGATACCATGTCTGCTGTGAGCGTATCAAATACTTACATAATGTTTGATCAGTAAGTCCTTCAGACTTGATATCCTGCCAGTGGGCTGCCACAATTTGTGTATTCATAAACACCGGCACTGAGATCTTGTCTGCTCCTTTTTTTTGCACATCCCACTGTATTAAATGAGGTTTATCTAGAGAACAGTGGCCCGTGGTTTTTATGAATTACTAGATGACATCACAATTCTTTACTGATGATGTTCCCTGCTGGGATTTAGATATTACAAAGCACAGTTGATTACAAGATTTAATAATGCAACAATTTAAAAAAGATATATTTGTATGCAGAGAACTCTCAGAATACATGAGCCTCATTTAGAGCAAGAGACCAGATCTCTCCTCAGCAATCAATCTCTTAAGATGTGTATGTGGAAGATTTTTGTTGTTTAGAGATGTAACTGTGTTTGCATTCTCAACTAACATATGATCTAGAAACTTCTGTTTGAATTCATAGAATCACAATGATTTGAATTGGAAGGGACCCTTAAAGCTCTTTTAATTCCAGCTCCCCTGCAATAAACAGGTACATCTACAGCTGGATCAGGCTGCTCAGAGCCCAGACCACCCTTCCAATGGAAAGCTCCTCTAGAGATAACCTTGTCAAAGGAAAGTTACTCCTGTGAAGCTCTAACTACAATGGATTGGTTATTTGTCTTGATCTGATCTATAGAGCTGTGCTCATTGCTGTGTGATGTGTGACTGACTTTTTACAGCAGACTTTTGCTCTGGTGAATCCACTTAGCATAACGTTCCCTCTCTGAGCAACTGCTTTTCCCCCAGTCCACCTTTATGTTTTCATCCGTCTGTATAACAGCATTCTGAGAAGGCCTGCAGAAATAGGTGCCTATTTGGGGAAAAAAAACTATGATAGTTAAAATTTCTCAAACCTTCAACTGCAAGCCTTGTCACTTCAAATTTTCAAGACATTAATTATCATGACAAAGCTTTAGAAGGCATTTGAATAAAGGAACACACCCAGACACGATGTGAATAGCAGCATTTGTATAAAGTTTTGAGAAAGTGCAGATGAAAGTTTCTGTTTTCTGTGGTTATGGATCCTGTGAGTTGCCCAGTTCAGACTGAGACATGTCCAAGTTTGGACGTTTGGAGAATGGAAGGTAAAACACTTTTTTTTAGGACGTTACCACTTACTTTCCAAAACAGTCTTCAGTCCCTTAATGTAGTGCAGTGATTGTAGATAAGTAAGATACACAGGCTGTAGATGGACATTAGCGTATTAACATCTGCCAGTGACCTGGGTAATGGCACCTAAGTTAGTCTGACTGTCCTACACACCAAGTTGGCTTGTGCAGAACCATGTTGTTATACCTAGGTTGCTTCTAGTACCAGATCTGACTCTGTTATGTCAACTCTGTGCTGCATTTTGAAGTGTTGGTGTATATGCTGTTGCAAAATACATCCACCTCGAGAAGCATCTTTCAAAGTATGCTTTCTGAGTGTACACTTTGTTTCTGCCCTCCAGAAACAAAGAACAAATAGGAGCTGAAAAGTTCTTATGGAATAATCATTTGACTCTGGGGAAGAGATCAGAAGTGGATTTCACTCAATTTCACTGTGTTCTGTCAAGAAGCCTAGCTGAAAGAAAAAGGTATTTTAACTTACTGCACATTGTGGTCCATATTTGCAGAGATTTGAGAAAGTCATAGGGTCACAGTGGGTGCTGTACTGCTTCTTGCACTGATTATTAGTGCAGTGCTTGTAACCTTAGTGAACCACGGTCTAGAAGTAAAACCAACAGCAGTATGCTATGTTGGTGCTTTGATTATGAAGCTTTCCATAGAAAAAAAATAATAGCATAAATAATAATTAAAAAAAAAAACGCTTCTTACCTTCTAAATAGACACTACACTTTGTTGTTGTTCTTTTTTTTTTTTAAACTAAATGTTCAGTTCTTTGCAAGTGTTATCCTGTAGTGTCTAGTAAATAAGATCACTTACTAATTCATCTCTCTGTTATCCTTTCTTGGAAAATTGACTTATGTAGTGGAGCATCCGTAAGCCTCTTGTTCACTTGGTTATGTAAAAGAACAGCAGAAGAGCTTCATTATTACAATTGTTTTAGCAAAAGATTGTAATTTAAGACAACTGGTGCTTTAAGATGCTCTTGGTAATGTTTCTGTTCTACCAAAATTTCTTGCCATCTACTAAGAAAAGAAATGTTTTTCATATCCTGCTTTATTCCATAAACCTCAGCCAAGCTGCTCATTTGTGCTGTAGTACTAAATAAACCAATATCCTTGGGAACCCTGACTAAAAAGTTGCTTTGGTGATGCAGATGGGATGATGGGGTTTTTATTATGTTAAGTGAAATCCGGAGTTTGTCTTCTATTTTCTAGTTTTATGTTAAACTAAAAATCCCATTCATCAGGTCCAGTTAAGAAAATACCAAGATCTGATCTTAGTCATTAATTTATCCTAAACCAGGTTAAGAGCCAAATGCAGTGACTGTGGGCTTTCTCATTTTCACTTTTTAAACCTTTAGAATTTCCTTTTATTTCCTTCCTATTTGGTTTAGTAGACAAGGTATCTTTCTGAATATGTCTTGATTACTTCCAAAATTTCTGAAGCAATATTTTTCATTCGTGGATTTTGTATTTTAACAATGCTTAATGGACACTGTTGAAACATTTTGATGAAATGACAGTTGCAAATTTCAACTTATATAGTTACAAATGATATCCAAGTGTTGTAACTCTGCTCAAAGCAAAGGTAACATCCTATCTGCCACTGAGCTAGCCAGGTCAACTGCTGGTGACCATGGTGCCTTCAGAAATATGCAGAGGGTATCACGTATTTGATGGGAGGATGGTTGGACAAGGTGATCTTGTAGGTCCTTTCCAACCTTGTGATTCTATGATTCTGTGATTCTATGTTTCAGTTTATCCTCAGCAAATTCCTTCGTACTTTCAGATCAGTGTAGGGTGGGATGATGTATAGGTAGTAAGTAGAGCCATTTTTAATTTTTTCCATTTGAAAATACTTGATCCAAAGTCTTAGTTCTGGTGGAGGCTACTTCTGCATAGCTAATCCTCGAGGAGACATCGAGACTACGAATGGGAGGATTTTTCTTGAGAAAGCAGTTATGCCAATTTGTTCCTTGCAGAGTTTAGTCTGTGTTTTATTACAGCATATGGAGTTTCAGCCCATGAGGACTCTGCTCTTTGCTTGAAATATTCTATCCTGTCACTCTAAAACTCTTCCACTGATGGTTTAGCACAGGTTTAAAAAAAAAAATAATATTTCACTGCTAAATAACATGTTAAAAGCAGAGCAATGCACATAAATCTCCCTGAAGTTTAAATCTTTTATGGTATGAATCTGAGCTAAGCAAATCTTGGCAGCAGAATACTCCACAGTGACCCTGAGACTGGTTATGTAGCACTTAGATCTCTGTTGGTCTCAGATCATCCACAGTAGTTAGAAAGATGTTTTCAGACTAATTCTTAAAGCTGCCTTTCTTTAAGAGGAATTTTGTATTTCTTATTAGCAAAAAAGTGAAAGCTGTGCCTATCACTGGATACAAATTAATTCAACTTTTTTAATACATGGATTTGTTTTTCTCATGTAAAACCAACAGCAATATAAACAATAACACCATGAAAAAATTACCAAAACCTGTTAACAGTAAATTTTCTTCTGCAGTTTCTTAGGACCATGGGGATCATAGATTATAATTCGCTTGCTGGTAGTATAAAAACGTAACAGCATTTTTCCTCTTTATTGTTTGAGGGAATTTTCATTACTAAAGAGAAATATTTCTTAAAACTAGCTGAAAACAACGCTGGTGCAGGTTAATAATATAAAGTGTTTGGAAAAACAGCACAGATTACACTTGTAATATTGTTTTCCTTGTACAGACCAAATGGCCCTTTTCCTGCAAGTACTTTGTAAGAGGGCTTTACATATCATAGTCAAATTCACTTAATAGACACATCATTCAGTTGGGTTCATTCCATTCACGTAAACGCAGATGAAGACGTACAACTTAGCTTTACCATGCATCCATCAGATCTACTAATATGCTATTTTTCATAACATCTGGATTTCTTTTGCGTACTTAGTCTTAAAAATATCTTGATAAGATTTTCAAACAGTTTTTTTCTTAGTTGTATCACTGTGATTCAAGTCATATTGTGGAGAGGGTCCAGAGCAGAGCCACAAAGATGATCAGAGGGCTGGAGGACCTCCTCTACAAAGACAGGCTGAGGGAGCTGGACTTGTTCAGCATGGAGAAAAGAAGGCTGCAGGGTGACCTCATGGCAGCCCTTCAGTATTTAGAAGAGGATTATAAAAAGGAGGGTAATCAACTTTTTACAAGGGTAGACAGCGATAGGACAAGGAGGAATGGTTTCAAGCTCAAGGAGGAAAGGTTTAGATTGAATGTTAGGGGGAAGTTCTTCACAGAGAGAATGGTGAGATGCTGGAACAGGCTGCCCAGAGAGGCTGTAGATGCTCTGTCTCTGGAGATGTTCAAGACCAGGTTGGATGAGGCCCTGGTTTAGTTCCAGATCTGGAGATTGGTAACATTGCCTGTGGCAGGGGAGTTGGAACGTGATGATTCTTGAGGTCCATTCCAACTGAAGCCATTCTATGATTCTATCTATAATAACATCAAGTGAAAAGGGAATACATGCCAACTTTTGCTATATTAAATTAAATACTAAAATTACACTTTAGTGTATGCAAGTTAAAATGTTGTTTCCTGAGACTTCTCCCTTTTCTTTTCAACACAGTGGGACTCTGCAGCGTCAGCCAGATTTGATTTTGATTGCCAGCTTTTCAAAAAGGCTGTGCTGGTGGAAGACCAAGCCTGGAGAATTTGTTGTGAAGTGGAAACCTCCACTGGGTATGGGTTATTTTGACATGTGTTTCTCCAACGTTCTGTGACTTGATGTGATTGCAGTTGTTTTAACTGTTTCTTACTGTTTTCCTTTCATCACAGCATAATGCTCAATTTCTGAGCAGTAACTGAAGCAGAAGAATATATTACCAATTAGATGCAACTGATCTGTAAACTTCACTGTCTGTATTGTCCTGTATCATCAATCCCACGCCATTTTTATTTTCTCTTTGTAATAACCTATCTGGGAAAAATACACAGTATAGTAAAATGCTTATTTATAGTCAGATTCTCAGAAACATCTGAAACAGAATGAACCCAGTTCAACACACCTCAGCATTGAACAGGTTGTTCTCAATAGCAACAAAAAAAGAAAGAAGTACAGCTTTATTCTGCTCTGCAATTTCTTTCAGCTCCATCAGGACAAAGCTAATTTGACACTTTCTATTTAAAACTTATTTTGAAGATTAATTTGAACTTTTGTAATGTGTTAAAATGCTTTCCCTTTGTGCAGAGGGAACACATTCTCACAGAATGTTGTAATCAAGATCAATTTTCTGAAGTTTTTTCTCACCTGGTCCCTCTCAAATTACACACCATAGAAAATATGTCCAAAGAAAAACAGTTCTATCCTATTTTGAGGATCTGTCATTTTGTGTGTGTCACTTAGCATCCTCCAGGACAACAGTTATTTTTTATTTAAAAAAGAAGAAAAGATGTTCTTTGCATGTATCTTACATTCAGCTGTATCTTAGCAAGCAAAACAGGGAGCTAAACTTCCAGAAAGTCTGAAACTTAATACAAAATTATACTAGCTTTTAATAGTGCCTAATTTAAAGATAAATTAGAGACATGTCTGTCAATCATAAATAAAAAGTACTGGTAAGCTTCTTATTTGTTCATTTTGTGCTTTTTCCAGTTGTATTTTAGAATCAGTGTCCTACAGTCTTTTCAATTCTCAGAGGAGCTCCTAAGGAACAAAAAGCTAAGGCAAAGAAACAGTATTTCACCTTGTTTGAGAAAGCTGCTCCAAACGCCTCCTACTAACAAATAAGAGAATGTCCAACACTTCTGTAAATTAATGATTTTAAGGTCAGGAGTTCTGTCATGAAATATATTCTTACTGGAGCAGTTGGTTTCTTGGTTTCAGAGTCATAAAGGAAAAACCACTGGCAGTAAGAAAATAGTACAAGAAGAAATTCTGGAGCAGCTTAAGCAAGTAGGTTGTGAGCCAATTAAAAGGAAGTTGTTCTTTTCAACAAGTGTTTCCAGAATTAGACTTGTCACCATTTTAGATACAGTTCTTTCTGCTTATTGATAATAGTGTAATTAGCAGCCTGTTTAATTAAGACAGCTATTAAAAGAGCAGATCCTTTGTCCTTTATTAGTTTTATTCTTGAAACAACCACAAAGCAACCCGCAGCTGTATGTCACATTAAGAAGTCATTCGATGTATTGCTGTATAAATTGCTTGTGAATTATATATGAGAAAAAAAAAATCATTCTCAAGAAATATCAGAAGAGGTCTTACTTGTGTCTACAAGCCTAACTAATGAAACATTTTTTTTCCTACATCATAGTCAGTTTTAAGATTCATATCATTACCATAGTAGCCTCTAGCTAGACTGAAAGTCATTCAGGATAATGTGGTTTCAGGAAGGCGTTCACTGTTTATTCACACCATTTTCCACTACTATCTGACACATAATGCAAGTTATTAGAATAACAAAAACGTATTGTGACTTAACATTGTTAAGAGGAAATTGAGTCTGGTGATATTGAGCATGCACATGTAAAGGATGTAAGAAGTGCCCTAGGAGCAAATAGCACTGTGCTGAGTAAAGGGAACTCTGTGTTAGCTGAAAATCTCTCTTACTTATCAGAGGGGAGGCGGAAGAAAACAAAATTTAACTGTTGATTTTATTTTCATCAGTATTATTTAAGATGACACACATATGTCAGAGATCCATGGACTCTACTTTGAATGTGAAAAGCTCTGTTGCCATGAATTGTGTATTTTTGTGTTATTATAATATGGTAGTGGATTGAGAGAGCTTGGGCAAGGACTGCGAATGTTATGACAATACCGTCTCATAAAAAATACATATATTTTTTGTATTAATTACTTGTGAAGCTGCCAGTAATGCAGAACCAGCTGTTGTGGATTTTGCAGTGTTTCTATTCTATTCACAGCATTCACAGATTAGCTCATTGCTTATCCCATCAAAAACTGTGTTTTTATGAAAAGGCATTTTATACAGATGACCATAACCCAAGTATGGCTCAATATGCCACATTCTGTAACTCTTTACAAAGTTACACATCGACGAGAGTTGACAGGGAAATGCTCATTGTTAAAAGCCATCCAATTCTAGCAGAACTGTGGCATGAAGCAGGCTGAATGTGTGATAGCTGATGGTGCTTTGAATGTACTCTATTGAAATGGGAGATTAGTATACTAAAGCAATTTGATGTTTTTTTGGGCTGGGGTTTGTTTTGTTTTGCATTGTGCTCAGCACAGGCTGGACAAATCTAGTGCAATGGTCATTTCCTGCTGAGTCAGAATGCAGCAAAGCTGTTGGAATGTGAATGCAGTGCAGTGGTCCATGGGAGATGGTTGTTTTCTGGTCTATGCTCAAGAAGTGGCTGCAGTTTGGGAAAGCTAGAAGTGATCAGAGAACTTCTATGAGAAGTTGGAAGGAAAGTATTTTGATATGTTTTTAAAACCCTACTTTCAAAGCACGATTTTTTTCTCTATCTACTTTGCTGTATTTTTGTTCCCGAGTGAATTGCTAACATTTGTGAATATGTGGATGCTAGAAGAGATAATGCTTCAGAGCATTTTAGTATATAACATTGGAAGAGGCTTCAAATCAACAACAGATCTGTTAAGATAACTCTGCATTACCTAACAGAAGTTATTTTAATAACTGGGATTTACACAGTATATTTCTCTAAATAGAAATCTCAGCGTGTGAATATTTCCATCCAAACCAGAGGAGTTGGACTAGTTTCTCTCTTTTAACAGAATTGACTGTAAGGTCTCTCAGCTGTATTGCTGCTCTACTGATTTTGTTTCTCTCCCTTCCACCAGTTGTTTCCTGTGTGGAGGAGAATAGGCATTTCCTGTGCTCCCTACAAGTGAATCTTTGCAAGAACTTCTTTTTCTTGGAAAGTAAGTTTCTTCTCATTAATTTCTCTTTCTGTGCTTTTTTTTCCTTCTCCTATTCCATAAATACACTTGGGTTGCATTTAGAAGAAACTCTTTGAAAGCCTTTGAAAATAGCGTGCTGGGTAGGTCCCTGGGTGATGATATCTGAAGTAAGTTAATTACTGACCTCCTGTATTCATGTGCCAGTATTCCACATATAACCCAAAATTCCATTCACTGAAAAAGTGTTAGAGATAAGTAATAAATGTTGGCTTCATAATCTGGATGAGGATCATTTTTCATTGGAGAAAAAAAGCAAAAATTTCCCATCTATTTGCCCTGCCAGCATACTGAGCTCTGACATTGAGATCTCAGTCTACATCTAATTGTTTCTGGACCCTTAGAAGCACGCTTCACCTGTGGAGTGTTTGATAAACAGAGCTTCTCATACAGACTACATGAAGTGAGTTATGGATACTAAAACACAAAATCATGGAATAATTCAGGTTGGAAGCCATCTCAGAGGCTTAATCCCCTCACTCAAAGAAGGATCAAGTTCCAAGAGAGAGCAGCCTGTATGGGGTTGTATCCAGTCACGCTTCCATATCCGCAAGGCTGGAGACTTCATTCTCACCTCCCTCAGCAATTGGTGTATTAACTATGATTTTTTTATTATTATTATTTGTCCTAATATACCTAATTGGAATTCCTCATTGAAGTCAAATTTTATTTAAAATTTTGAATTTTCCAATATTTTGCTAGGTTTGTGATCTGAGAGCTTCTTAGGATACGTGGTGTATATTAAGCTCAAAAAGGTGTCAGTTTTCAGCATAGAAAGAGCTAGCAGGAAAGTGGGTATTGGGAAAGAAAAAGAGAAAATTCCTTAAGAAATGAGGAAAGTAGAAAAAGACAGAGCTCTTATGTTTTCGGATATTTCTTCTGAGAAGGTTAAAAAGGGAGGGGAGTCTGAATGGTATTAATAGAAATTACATTTTTGTTTTCAAAGGAAAGAATGTCTAACTGTAAAGCAGAAGTGAGCACTAATCACACCAGAACACATAAGGAGAAATGCAACATCTGAACTTAGCCAAAGAAAAAAGATACCAAAGATGGTTGAATATATATTAATATATTTTGAAGAGGCTGTGAGAAGAATATGCTGAAAGTAGCTCTATCTTGCACGGTGCATACAGTAAAAGAAGCATGAAAATAGTTTGTAGAATACTTCATGAATGAAACTGCAAAAAGAGGATTGAGCATGGTGGGTGTGTTCTGGAAATGAAGTTAATGTTCCCAGTTTACTATATGGGACTTGCAATGGAATTGTTACTTCTTTTATTAATGCTGAATTTGGCTACCTAAAAATGTTAGAATCAGGAAAAGACTTTCAGTTTGAGAACTGATTCAGGCTGAAGTGATACATGTATGAATGTAATTGGTTGAGAAGTGGGTTGCTTTTTGTGAAAACTAGAAATATTCATTAGAAAAATAGACTTTGAAATGTAAAGAGTTTTCTAGTTGAGGGTTTTCAGAGGACATTTACAGTTTTCTATGGGAAGCAGGCAGATTTTCAGGAAGTTTTTTGGTTGATCAGAAATCTAGTTTTAAATCATGGGATGATATTTGGCAGTCTTAGTTGTGAGGCACTGACACACTTTCTCCCCATTCTCCAAGTTACTTTCAATGATTTACCAGCTGTTCTGGCTATCTGAGGAGGTCTCTGTTGACTGGAGGATGGTAAATGTGAAACTCATCTACAGGAAGCACAGGAAAGGGGACTTGTGGAATGGCAGGTCAAGTTAGTTTGACATCAATGCCAGGGAAAGTCACAGAGCAGGCCATCACAACAAGCACATCACACAGCACGTACAGGATAACCAAGTGATCAGGCAAGTCAGCATGGGTTCAGGAGAGGCAGATCCTACTTAATTAACCTGATCTCCTTCTATGTCACCCACATAAGGTTGAAGCTGAAGAACCTGCGTTTCCACAAGCTCTGATCAGCAGTGTGTTCAGCAGCTATACGAAGAAACAGAAAAATGAGTTATTCTACAGGCAAAATTAAGAAATCCTGATATTTTCCAAATTTGTTGCATGTCCCCACTTGCCATTTTTCAGTAACACCACTCCTCTTCAGTGTTCCCTCCTCCCTCCTCTTCGTTGCTTTAGAGTACCACCACCTTCCTCCTGTGATGCTCTCTCTGTTGAATGTCAGGCAGCATGTGTCTTGTTCAGAGCAGATCTGACTGCCTGCTGATTGACCATTGCCCTGCAGCAAGAGTGATAGTTATTACAAATCTCTCTCCCCCTCCTCTATCCTAACTGCCAGTCTTCACACTTTTTTAGAAACTTAATTATCTTCACTACTGCTCTGCACCTCTGTCAATTTGTTTGAAATTGGAAAGCAGGTTCAAAAGTTACCAAGAAAGACAGAAAGACCACAGGTTAGGTCTCACTGCTTTAGGAAACAAAGCTTTAAACAAGGATTCACAGGTTGACTTGTATCTAATCAATCAGTCACTACTTAGGCTTGCATCTTCTACTGAGAATTTCATAGGCTGGGGGGAATTGCAGTGACTCACAAAGTAGTTTTATCAGCATAACTGTTGTATAGGTCTCATATGCCACGTGAAAAATGAAACTACCATGGAGGTATATTTGGCAAAGGAAGCTAAGGCTGTAAAAAGTAGAACTTCCTTGTTTCAGCTGTAACAGCTTTTCCCCTTCTTTGTTTTCCACTGAAATTCCACATTATCTTTTTCAGATGGACACCTGGCTTGGAGGAGATGCAGCACAGAGTCCCTAGCGGAAGCTCAAAATGGATGACTTCTACTGATGCTTTGTGACAATTTCATCTCCTCTTTTCCTGTTTGAGATGGCTGATAAGATCATCAGGAAAAATTTCTAAAATAAGCCTGCGTGACAACGTCTCTTTCCCTTAACTCTTCTTTTCACAAATCTGCAAACCATCAGACAAAATGAGCAGCCCTCTACAAGAGGAGTCAGCAGAGCCCCAGAGCTCAGATGAGCTCGAGTGCAAGATCTGTTACAATCGCTACAACCTGCGACAGAGAAAACCAAAAGTGCTGGAGTGTTGTCACCGAGTTTGTGCCAAATGCCTCTGCAAGATCATAGACTTCGGCGATTCTCCTCAAGGAGTCATAGTTTGCCCATTTTGCAGGTTTGAAACATGCCTGCCAGACGATGAGGTTAGTAGTCTTCCTGATGACAATAACATCCTTCTGAATTTAGCTTGTGGGGGAAAGGGAAAGAAGTGCCTACCAGACAACCCAACGGAACTGCTGCTGACTCCCAAAAGGTTGGCGTCTCTGGTTAGCCCTTCTCATACCTCTTCGAATTGCCTGGTTATAACAATTATGGAAGTACAAAGAGAGAGTCCCCAGACTCTGAACTCGACACCCGTGGTGGAATTTTACAGGCCTACGAGTTTTGACTCTGTTGCAACTGTGTCCCACAACTGGACAGTGTGGAACTGCACATCTTTGCTCTTCCAGACCTCAATTCGGGTGCTAGTTTGGTTGCTAGGGTTGCTGTACTTCAGTTCCTTGCCTTTAGGGATTTACTTACTGGTATCTAAGAAAGTCACCCTTGGGGTTGTCTTTGTAAGCCTTGTTCCCTCGAGCCTTGTTATTCTCATGGTTTATGGCTTTTGCCAGTGTGTTTGCCATGAATTTCTAGACTGCATGTCTTCTTGACAACAAATGCAGTGAAATAAGGTACATTGCCACATGTGTAGCATAGTTGATTTAGCCTGTCTTTATATTCTTATTTATTTTTATTTTTGACCATCCCACTGAGTGAAAGCAGAGACCCATGTTATACAGTCCTTTTTACAACCTCTTTATTGTTTTCTCTTTATTTTCTTTTCCTTTTAGCTAAGTAATGACATAAAATTTCCATGTTCATTTTAAAGGGCTGGGATGTAGAAAGGGGTAATGGAAAATTGCCAAACTTGGTGTCTGCTGCTGTTATTCAAATAAGTAGCCCCTTGCTTTTTGTTGGCTAGATCATGCAATATGAGGGTGCAGGATCTGCCTTAGGAGAAGTTAGTATAACAGGCACCTTCCAGTTCAATGTGTAGCATCTCTTAATGCAGAGAATCTCATGCTCTGGGATATCTGTTATTTCTGGTAGCAAATGAAATCACTTAGTTAATAAGAAGAAGACAAGTTAATGTTTGCTCTTTCCAGTTCTTGTTACAGCAAAAATATTTGTGGGGTGCCCAGTGGTCACAGATGTTTTTGGTATTTTATGGCATGAGGAACTTTTTCCTCATGCTAACAACACTTTCCCCATGCAGAAGCCCACTTTGCTTGTCCAGTAGTTGCAGCTTCATCTCCTGCAATGGATTACTTCTATTAGCCACACTTGTTCTCATCTAGGTGCACTAAATAAGTGTGTGTAACTCTTAGCTTCCTTTGAGAGTTCAGAGATCTGCAAACTTCTCTGGCTGTGTTCCATTACATTTACCCTCACTCCAAGCGTTTCCACCACCACACCACCTTTCCAACTTTTTTGTTCTTGTAACAAAAGCACGCCTACATTTAGGTTGCTGCACTGGAAAATTTCCCCTATGTGACTTTAGCTGTAATAGTAGATCTTTTTGTCTGATCATGAGGATGTGGACTTTCACTACCTAACACACGTTTCAGAAAAATTCTGAAATGATTAATACGTGGGGGGTTTCTTCTGCTTTTTTGAGTGTTTTTTTGTTTGTTTGTTTTCCAATTCCACAGGATGAGCACTGTGATAAGTTACTATTACTCTGGGAAGGATTCTGTTTTGTGCATGGTCCTTCAAAATATTTAATACTCTGAACTCCCTCTGTCACCATTGTGAGTTGATGGCACCCCAGCTGTGGCAATTAGTGCAACTTGACTACGTTGAATTCAGAGGAATTAGTGGCGATTTACTACTCCATAAATACAGTCAGGCCCTACGAGGTTTGCTTGTACGTTGTGTGGTTGAGGTTAAATTTTCAACTACTGGAAGAGCACAAAAATAAGAAATGTTTAATATTTGTGTTTATAACTAAGTCTGGTCCACGCCACAGCTGCAACCTGGTTTTCCTGTGCACAGCGGAGTAAAAAATGAGAAGCAGCAGATGATCAGTGCAAGCACAGCTTTTGGATCAGGCACGAAATGGAGTGACCTCAAGGTGCAGTGTAAGGGGAAAATGGGTTGGTTGCAGGAAGACTGACTAGGTGGCCTAACAGTACGTTCTTAAAACAAAATGACTTGGCAAGAGTGAAAAATGTTGAAGGGGAAAAGGAGAGCTTAAGTGGCTGTTGTGTCTATCAAGAGGATCTGAAGTCAAATCAGTCCAATTTTTGTAGCTGGTACAGATAATACCTATGGTTTCATTCCTACTGAAATCGTAGGAGAAATGTGAAATGTGAAGGTCCCGCTTTTCTTGACACTCAAGTTTATAATAGTGCATATATGTGTGTGTATGTATATATAGACACATATGTAAGAAGAAAACCTATAGCAAAATTATAGTTTTCAAGTGTGTGGAGTTGCAGAGCTTTGTATTGAATGATTAAAGGAAATGTTTCAAACTTCTCTGTAATCACTGGATAACAATTAGAACTAAAACATTTTCAGAGTTCCTAGAAATGACTATTCCTAAGTAATTGTTTTGGTGTTTGTGGTAAAGCATATAGAGTTAGAAGAGCTGTATTCCCCAATCCCCATATACTGCAAGGTTTGACTCATCTATGAATTCATAAATTTTCAATCTCCAACAGTCATCATGTCAAAAAAGCAAGAAAGATAGAAATCTATGTGGTTTAATGGTACTTCATAACTTTGGGAGAAGATGTATTTGTAGTGTTAGGGATTTATGTGTTTTAGGGTATGTTCAATTTGTCTGAATATAATATCTTTAATAAAGGGCTGGCTAATACAGGATGTAGGTTTTGCAAATGTGTGATGTATCTGTGTTCCTTCTGCACAACATGTCTGCAGTGCTACCCATTGTCTCTTCCTTTTTTTAATTCCCAGTTCATTATGATCATTTTAGCTCCAGCATCAGATATTTTGTACTCTGTTTTACAACAGAGCCTCATCTTGGCAGGATTGCAAGGTACCAGTTACATATCACAGCACAAACAAATACACTTGTTGTGTTATACTTCACTATTTTTTAAGACTGCCGCGCAGTTAAATTCTCACTGTTATTTTAGACTCTGCTGCAATACTAATCCACTCAAAAATACGAGTGCAGAAAAACACTGATCATATAGCTACTCTGCTGCTTAGCCAGAGCACGTTATTACAGCTTTGTTCTCATAAAATTCCTATGTGACTTAAAATGTGGCAACTGAGAATTGCCAAGGGGTCTGAATCTCGATTTTTTTGTAAAAGAAACAGGAGAAGATATTTACTGTGTGACTGAGGCTGGAAGAATTTCAAGTAGTACTCTGCCATTATTTTTATTCTTCACCACCCTTAAGATTGAGAACTGAAAACTCATGACTCTCACATCCTCTACAGTGGAATAATTCTGCTGGCCTGCATAAATGGGTCTGGAATCAAGTCCTGCACACCCTCCTGCCAGTGTTTCCCTCTCTTTCTATGACTTCTTTTTTTTGTCTCCTGTGGTCATAGAATACTACATTCATGCCAAGAGAATTGTATGGGTAGGATTTTGTTCCTGCTTTGCCCAAACGTGTGAGTCAACGAGGTACAAAGTGTTATAAATTCATTACCACACGATTATTTTACCCCAAATGATGTGTTTTTTGTTTTTTAATTCCTGCTTATCTTGTGAGTACAGAGCGTATCCTCATCAGCTGCTAGTTTGCAGTACAACGCGGGGCTGTTCCCTGAGGGCTGAATCATGCAGTAGCATCGTGGAGCACAGTGTTGGAAGGATGCTGAGGTGGACCTTCCTCTGAGCAGGACCTCATGCAGAATGGAGCTCTTCTGCAAGCATGGCCCGAGCCCAGAGCCCGAACTGCAGCTGGTGGGTTACACGAGGAGCTGCAAGGGAGGCAATGGGCCTTCAGGGCTGTGATGTATTGGGCAGCGGGCTGTGGGGCCAGCTGTGGAGCTGAGGGACAGCTGTGGAGATTAAGGGGAGCTGAACAGAATGTTGGACCTTCGGGCAGAGCTGTGCAAAGCAGAAAGTGATCTGTTCCTGGAGCAAAGCAGTGGTGTTCAAGTGAGATGGGAGCAGAGCTGCCAGTAAAGCTTTTCAGGCTGATCCTTCTAATTTTTCAAGTTTGTTTGGTAATTAAAAGTCACTTGGCAATGCTACTACAGTTGAGTATTTTCACTTTCTACACGCCAAGTTATTGGCCTTCATAGCTTAAAAAAAAAAAAAAAGATCCTTAGATTTGGATGCAGTTCCTCTATGACATAAGCTATTTAAAGCTTTGGTCTGGTAAGTGGGATTGACTAAATCCCATTTGCTTTAGCTGCACAGTGAGCTTTGTCCTGCTATATTGACCATCTGCCTGCAAAACTCTATATGCCAATATAGAATGCAATTAAATAGGTGAAATTTTTGTTAAGACTGTTCTAATATCAAAGCAGGCCAAACACATGGCTACGTCCTGCCTTGTCCTGGCTCATCCCAAACATGTGAAGGGCTGCCCCAAGCCTGAGGAGCACCAAGACCTGACTCTGTGCCCTATGCCACCTCTGAGGCTGCTCACTCCAGCTATGGATCTTGCTTTCTGGTAAAGCAGGTGTGGGTCATCGTTTCGTTTTCCTGTAGGGAAGGTGCACAGTATTCCACTCTCAACCAAACTCATTGTAACCACCTTAAGTTTTCTCAGATTTTGTTGCAGCACTTCTTTTTTTTTTTAACAAAAGCAAGGCAGTGCAATTTATTTAAATGGAGCAGTGCCGTCAAGCAGAAAAAAATGGGGGAAGAAGAAGAACTGAAAATCATGAAACCATTTCAATACCTACAAAGTGATGGAAAGAGACTGTTCTGAGTGTCAACATTTTCTTTCATGCTGGCAGATTAGATGTTATCCTTTAAGTGACATCAGTAAACATTCAGTGCAGGAGAGTCTTCAGGGAGTTTATATGTCAGCACAAAACCTCTGTTCCAGTGGTTTTCTGTACATCATTCTGCCTCCTGCATCAGCTCTCCTAGTTGGAGCCTTACAGTTTCAGAAGCACTGGTTCAGAAAATAGATCCCCCATATGGGGATGCTAAATTACCTTTCCAGAGACGTGTGTGGCAGTAACAAAGCTTTCAGTGCTAGACCTTAAACAAAGGGAAGTCATCTCACAGTTTGAATTGGTAGCATAAATTTCAGTTTAAATCAAATTTCATTGTGTTTGGCAATGCTACAGCTAAAATCATTTTATTGTGTTTCTGCCTCCTGCTTGTGTCATGTGAATGTGGTTTGCATTTAAAAAAAATGTATTAAATCATAAAAACCAGAGATGGTTGGAAAAAATCCGAAGAAGTCATTCTATCTGTTTCCTCTGTCCCTGTAGAGATGAATGCTTTGTCTGGCCTGGGTTTAAATACCTCAGGTGATGAGGCCTCCACCTCTTCTCTTCAGACTTTTCAGCCATTTAATAGACATCTTTGTTAGAAAATGTTTTCTTTGTATTGAGCTTGATTTTTTTTTTTTCCTTCTGCATAATGCAAGTCCTTTATTCTGCTCCCACTGTTTTTAACTTTTATGAAATCTGTGAATGTATTGTATCACATTACGAAGACAGACTGAGAGCTGGGCCTCTTCAGCCTGTAGAAGAGAAGGCTCTGAGGGGACCCTATTGCGGCTCCAGTACCTGAAGGGGGCCTACAGGAAAGCTGGGAAGGGACTTTTTATAAGGGCAGGTAGCAACAGGATAAAAGGAAATTGTTTTAAAGTGGAAGAGGGTAGATTTAGACTAGATATTAGGAAGAAATTCTTGACTGTGAGAGTGGTGAGACACTGAACAGGTTGCCCAGCAAGGCTGTGGATGCCCCCTTCCTGAAAGCATTGAAGGCCAGGCTGGATGGGGCTTTGAGCAACCTGCTCTAGAGGGAGGTGTCCCTGCACATAGCAGGGGATTGGAACTGTATAATCTTAAAGGTCCCCTCCAACCCAAACTGTTCTATGATTCTATGTTTGATTCTATGATAAGCTCTTCCATACCATAGTTGAATAATTCATAATCCTTGTTCTAGACAAGCAACCAGTTGCTGAACAGTGACGCTTTGCTGGGACAGCATGCCATGTATCAGAAAACATATTTCCTGGCAACTCCAGGCTGACATTTCTTTTTAGAATAGGGAGTGAAAAATGTCAAGAAAAATTTGAAGAAGTGCATCCTCCCAGGGGCATCCATGGCAATATTACTGACATTTCCTGAGGTGTTGAGGCAAGCAGCCTACTTCCTTAGATAGAGCTTTTCTGTACAAAAGCAGATGATTTTAATAAAAGCAGTTGCTTTTAAAAAGCATCTAGAAGCCTTTTTCAAAAGGAAACCTCTGTGTGAGAGCCCCGCTATGTCAAAACTCTTATCTTATTCAGAGACAAGACTGTATTGATTGCCACTCACTGCAGAGCAGTTTTTGCTGACAGCTTAGCTCAGATGAAAAATTGAATTGGGTGTTAAGGAGAACAGTTTGAAAAGATGCTTTTGCAACTGTGTCTCTGGAATCAGATCTGTGTATGAAAATGTGACTCATATCTTGACAACAGAAACATTGCGTTGCCAATTGAATTACAATGTCCTAGATAATCCTCAGCCCATCTGAAATGATAAGGAGTAGTGTGGCCAAGGAAACTCAAGGTGGGCAGATGTAAAAGAAGTGGTACTGAGCTTTGTAAGCTGTGCTGATCCTGGGTCAGGTGAACGGGCTGCTGATTCAAGAAAGGTCTCTGACAGTGACTGGTGGTGGATGTAGGCAAAAAAACAAATGGGCAGCCCACACGGACAGGGAGCTTCCAATGTATTTCCTCATTTATGGCAGCTTTCAACCTGGAGACCTCTTGAAATGGGGCTTATGCCTGTGTTTGTGGTTTTGATTCTTGCCTTTGGATTTTCATTTTGACATTCACAAAATCCTACAGCAGTAAGTTCCTTAATTTAATTACACACTTTATCGAAAAGGTCTACTTTGTCTTAAATGTTTCTAAGATACCAGTGATGTATCCTCAACTTTTCTTGCTGTGAAAAGCAGTTCCAAGGTATGAATCTTGGTCAGAATCACAGAACTGTAGGGACTGGAAGGGACCTCCAGAGATCATCGAGTCCAATCCCTCTGCCAAAGCAGGTTCCCTGCAGCAGATCACACAGGTAGGTGTCCAGATGGGTCTTGAATATCTCCAGAGAAGGAGACTCCACAGCTTCTCTGTGCAGCCTGTTGCAGTGCTCTGTCACCATGAGAGTAAAGAAGTTCTTCCTCGTGTTTGTATTGTTCACTTCCTCCGCACTACTTGATCTCTATAGATATGAATGTTATGATTTTATCCTTTATGCTTCTCCTTAGCTGTCTCTTGTCCAAACTGGAGGTGCTACCCAGTTTGACCTCTTCTCCTATAAAAGTCTCTCCATACTTGATACAGCCATTGCAGTGGCCTGAACCTTTTCTGCTGCTTTCTTCTTTGCTTCAAGGTAGAGAGAAGCCCTCAGAGACAGGTTCTAAAGGCAGTTAGTGTCATTTGTTAGCAAGTCAAGTAAAAGTGTGAGACATCTGTATCACATTCTAGTCAGCCTGTTCGTACCAATGGATGCAGGAGCTGGTAGGCTCCAGTATAACACTTAATTTAAACTTGACACAGACTGTGCAGATTTACTCAATTAAATATGTGGCTTGATACTGCTGGACTGAGTGGCTGCTGATGGGTGAGCATTGTGAGATGCCTTTTCATCTCTGCTATACACCTACCTCACTCCTTTGCTGCTGCCATCCCAAGTTACCTTCTAGAGCTTTCCATTGCAAAAATGCCTCTTCTTTTTTTTTTTTAATCTTAATCTTTATGTCCAAAAGGCTTTTGGCCTGCTCTCCTATGTTCAAAGGAGATGTTGACAGGTCTGATTAGAGAGTAAGCCCTTAGTGTTTGTCCTTTCTATTGCCAGTTAGG